AGTAACTGTATCTGTGGTAAATTGTATATTAGTTCATCTTATGAGAGACAATGTTTGTACTCTCTGTACTGAGGCTAAAGCTAATAAAGTGACTAGTTTGCGTGTAAGAATCTCTAGGTTTATGTCATCATGCGGCCATAATGAAGACAAGTATGAGATAATTGGCGCCGGATCCCAAATTAATGAATATTTCGGCTTGGATGGTTTTAAAGCCGAAACTCCTTTGAAAAACTGTCTAATCTTATCATTAGAACCGAGATTAGAATTAATTATAAGTGATAACGCTGAACGATTTTTGTTATTCTTAAATATCGGCCGCTATCTTGAATCGGCCATCTTGAATTTGCAAAATCCGACGTCGGATTCGGTTTTAGTGAGCTCAAAAATCCCAGAATCGGTATCCGAAAAATTTATTCGCCATCGATAAAGTATACGCTTCAAAGTTTTTATTTGTCTCGATTCTATCAGTGTCAAACAGATAATAATTGTTTTTGAGTTTTCATCGATTTAACAAGTTTTGATGTCATTCTAGTCCGTTTTGAATTATTATGATATTATTATTAACGATCAATGGTACATTACTTATCATTTTTACTTAAAGGTAAAGAAACCGAATCTTTTATACCAAATTTTTGCAAATTTTTTATTTTCAATTCCAAATGGCTTCTCTTACAGAGCATGAAAGAGTATCGCTATTGATGATGAGAGGATGGGGGAATAGACAAAGGTCATACAGTGAAGTGAGATTGCTGTTCAATGAAAACTTTCGTAATGAAGGCGAAGGTATTTTAATATCGACTGTATCTCGCACCATTAGACGATTTGTAGAAACTGGGAGTAATAAAAACCGCCAAAAATCTGAGAGGCCAAGGTCCCAAACGACAGAAAAGCGACAATTTGAAGTAGCCCAATCATTTGTTGAAAATCCCAAATTGTCAATTAGAAAAGCATCTCAACAGCTTCAAATGAGTGTATTGTCAATTTCCAAAAATCTAAAAACCATTAAGTTCCACCCCTACAAAATTCATCTCCACCATGAGTTGAATGAGGATGATTTTGACCGCAGGGTGCAATTTTCAGAAGTTATGATGCAAAGAATTGATCAGCAACCGAACTTTTTGCATAATATCGTTTTTTCAGACGAAGTGTCTTTTGAAATTACTGGTAAGGTAAACCGTCATAATTTTAGATATTGGGACAACGAAATCCTCATTGGATGCTTGAGGCACATACGCAGAGACCTCAAAAATTGAATGTTTGAGCAGGTCTTTATGATAATCAAGTGGTTGGGCCTTTTTTTATAAATGGGAATTTGAATTCAAGAACCTATCTGCAGCTTCTAACTGACCAAATTGTTCCATCAATACAGGAGATTGTAGCTACATAATTTCGAGAACAAGGTCAAGGTTGAAAACGTCATATCCGAACGTAAAATTTTTCGATCTTGACACTTTTAGGTCAAAAGTATGGATTTTCAGTCCTAAAAAAAGTCCGGTTTGTCCTTAATAATAATCTTAACTCATGACCTTAAGAATAAGGGCAAGGTCACGGCTGAATGTCCCTCGTTGACCTCTTCATTCTTATTCTTATGCGTAACATTGCTCCCTAGCAGATGCATTTTCGCGTTTTCAGCCTAAAACAAGCTTAGACCTTTATGTGACCTTCAGAGGTCAAATTGGCAGTGTTCAAGGTCATATTCGAACGTAAAATTTTCCGTTCTTTTCATTTCTGGGGTCAAAAGTATGGACTCTCATTTTTAAAAAATTGACCTGATCTTGAAATGACCTTCAAGTTCATTGTCAAGGTCAAATCCAAGGTGACCGTCAGATAGCCAGGAAAAAATCATAAAGACCCAGTACTTCGCATTTTTTCTAGGACTCATGTTTTTCGAGTTATTCTGCTCTTCCCGGACTTTTATAACACCCTGTATATACTTTAAAATGAAAATTAGTGAACAAATATATAAAGTTACATATGAATATATAAAGTTTTCCTGCAATGAACAAATATATTAATTTATAAAATATGAGTGAAGCAATTGTTACGTCCTGCAGATTTAACTAACAAAATTGTCTTTTCCTCTCGTGGATTTATATTCTCCTAATATAACTATAATAGGAATATATATATATATAAATATAAATTAAGAAACAGACCCATCTGGCGAACAGCCGTCGCGCCAAATGAAAGGCGATTCGGGAAAATTCCATAACAGGAAACAGTGCCCTGTTGTAAAAACCTATACCTGGGTAGTGTTCGCCAAGTGTGTCCGTCGTCCCAGCTATAAAAATTTGAAACTCCGCGCTAACAAACCTTCAGTAAAACAAAGCATCTCAGAGCATTCCTGCTCTAAAACTTGAAACTTACATCTTCCCAATCCAAAACCATATGCGCCCTATCAGTTAACCAACAAAGTTTACTTCACTGATAGTCGTAAAATCTGATCTCAGCCTTTGATTTGCGGCATCTTGACTTTTCCAGCTGGCCACTTGTATATATTTCTCTATCTCACAAAAATCCACCACCATCATACGCGCCTAATCATAACCTATCCACCCAAAACTATGAGACATCCACGCTCCACCCCTTATCCCATCTATATTCACGTCTTCTAGAACTAACTGTCCCCTGCTACGATGTCTTTTAACTTCGCTAATGGCTAAGACTTTTTCCCACTACTGTCAACCAGGACCAATAATAAAAATTAGTAACAAAATCTTTAACTTCATTGGGTTCTCCTTAGGGCTTCACCCCTCCCTCAAAAGGGAGGGGTGAAGCCCTATCTCTCTACCAACCCTGATAACTTCTGCCTCCGATCAATGATATAAAAACCGCAGTAATCCGCCTCCGCGAACAGAAGAACACGGAAACGAAAAAGCTCAGACTCGCACTCTCACGCAGATATTAAAAACTCAGATATTCAGAACTCGGATATTCAAATCTTGAACATTAGGACTCAGATTCAAATCTTCATAATTCCAATTCATTCAAATATTTAGTATTCAAATATTCAAGTATTCGGATTTTGGAAAAAGTGCGGGCTTCCTCTTTATATAAGTGAACGACTATTTGGTGCCTCAATCGGAATACGAATATTGGAAACGAGAACACCTACGCAGATCTGCGCCATTCTCACTTCTGCTTGTGTCAACTCATCCTGAATCAGTAGTAAGTTTCATTTTCTTTACTTTATCTTTCCTACTTCTATTTTATTTATTCCACCCTTGTTTTGAAATCCAGTTTTAGTGGGCCACTACTATCATTCACGCGTAACCATCCATCGGGTCCTCCACCTCTTTGACGAGATAAGAGACCCATACAATTTTGATCAACAGTTACCGTATATCAGAAACATAATTATCATCGGATTAGATATAGATTTCCCTCCAGACCGACAATCCTACCTCCTTTCCTATTCTCTCAAATTTTATCCCCTGATACTCCTACTTCTTCTCCCCAACGTGCATCCACTCCTTCCACCCCTCTAATATCTTATTCTCCTGTTTCTTTTTCCGAACTGTCCACTCCTCTAAATTCGCCAAACCTCTCTCGTTCCCCTTCACCTGATTAACTTCCTATTCATATTCGTTCTCTTTCCCATCCCTTTCTTTTTCCATTTCATGCACTCATACACACACACATTCACTCATTCGTCTAAATGTATTTATCTTAATAAATCTGTAAAAATCCAAACCGCGCCGTTATTATCAAATTTGCTAATTCAAACCGTACTACAATATCATTTTGTCATCTTTATTTCAATAAATCTGTTAATAGTTATTATCACCAATTAATTTCAAAATCACACCCACCCTTCCAACAGTCAACTCATGGTCCTATCCCCGGTAAAAGGATTCGCGTCCCTGACTGAAAAACGGACCGCTCGTCGTACGTGGGTGTCCGAGTAAAGGGACCCGTCGGGTCCCTGACCCGTTCACTGACACGCGTGTACGAACGAGGTTCACCTTACTCGCGAACTAAAAGGTTGCGCTCCTCCTCTAGGATGTAACACAATATATCAATTTGTTCTTTGCAACTTGCACTAATTGAAGTGAGACAGGTATACTTTTTCAATCAATTAAATATACTAATTCAATAAAACAATTAAAATGAACAAGTCTATACACACACGCGCGCACTCTCTCCCTCTCTCTCTCCCTCCCTCCCTCTCTATCCCTCCCCCTCCCCCCTCCCTCCCTCTCTCCCACCATCCCACTCTCTCTCAACAGTCAACTCATGGTCCTATCCCCGGTAAAGGGATTCGCGTCCCTGACCGAAAAACGGACCGCTCGTCGTACGTGGGTGTCCGAGTAAAGGGACCCGTCGGGTCCCTGACCCGTTCACTGACACGCGTGTACGAACGAGGTTCACCTTACTCGCGAACTAAAAGGTTGCGCTCCTCCGCTAGGACGTAACACAATATATCAATTTGTTCTTTGCAACTTGCACTAATTGAAGTGAGACAGGTATACTTTTTCAATCAATTAAATATACTAATTCAATAAAACAATTAAAATGAACAAGTCTATACACACACGCGCGCACTCTCTCCCTCTCCCTTCCTCCCCCTCCCTCTCTCTCTCTCCCTCTCTCTCCCTCCCCCCTCTCCCCGTCCCCCTCCCTCTCCCGCCCCCTCTCCCGCTCCCTCTCCGCTCCCTCTCTCGCTCCCTCTCCCTCTCCCTCTCCCTCTCCCTCTCCCTCTCCCTCTCCCTCTCCCTCTCCCTCTCCCTCTCTCTCTCTCTCTCTCTCTCTCTCTCTCTCTCTCTCTCTCTCTGTAACATATTACATTAGTGTATGCGCTATCAGAATCTGGTGGAAAAAAAAATAAATTACCTATTTAATACTATAAATTCGTCACTTTGTGTATCACATTGCACTTAAAATTAGAGATCTCTTTTCTTCCTGAAGTAAAACATCTTACAATTTGTCTCTCGTTGATGCTTTTTGCCGTTCAGTAGATTTTACAAGCCAATATTTTGTTAAAGATTCTACTATCGCTTCGGAGCAACCATATGTTTTCTGTGTAGAAATTAATATTGCAGAGCAAATGCGAAAATTATGAAACTTAGTTTTTTCTTTGAAACCTAACCAACTGTATGTTTTAGCTAAATTATTAGACATTACTTTTGGCAGAATGCGTTTCACCATATGTTTACATGATGCTCCTCCGATTTGAATAATCTTTGATCTAAAATATAACAATATATTAATAAATACAAATCATAAATAAACATTTTCTAATAAGTAAATATACGCACAAATTGTTTGAAGTTATTATCTTCGATTAGGAATTCTTCTAACTCCTGTAAATTCTGTTGATTTTGCAACGGAAAATTAAATTTTTTAAATATACTATTTTCATCAAGTACATTTTCTTCATTCTTCTCAAAATTCGCTTTTATTAATAAGATGCCAAGATCCTCTGATATTTGTTGCTGTCGTAAATTAATTATTTGTAATAGGCGTAAAACCTGTTTTTGGAAATTTTCATCATCTGAAACATGAAATATTTTAATAAACGTAAATTATTTGCAGATATGTATATTAATATAATCAAATTGATCATAATCAATACATATAAACATAGGTAATACTAAATGAAATATAATGCATCATGTAAAGCATATTACCATGTAAGTTATCACGTGATTTCATAGGTTGATATGAAGACTCATTGCGAGTTATTACCACCGGTAACTCGTGATCTTTTTCCCTAGTATGTTTTTGCATCGTATTCAATTCGTGATCTTTTTCCCCAGTATGTTTTTGCATCGTATTCGATTCTTTCTTTGACAGCACAATGTGTTCAGATATTTTCATAGCGTCTATAAAAGTTTAAATTTGTAATTGTTAGAATTAAAACAATACATATATAGCAATGTTAACAAAATGCTAATTACTATATGAATTAAATACATATTTGTATCTGGTGAAGATGGTAATATTGCGTTGGACAATATGTCACGTTCGCAGTCATCGCTTGATATTTCCGAAATCGCATTGTCTACTTTGCGTGCTTAAAAATATTTAATTACTTCATTAATTATGATTATAACTTGAAAATATGTGCAAGTTTTGCTAGGAATGTTAGAGTCAAAATCTCGACCGATAAAATATTCAAATAGCACAGAAATTTTGAAAAAAAATTTATTTATATGACACTAATTCTGAATTCATTTTTAGGTACAAAAGGAACATTGTTTACACTCCATAACATTTTTCTTCTTTCTTCTATCTTGCTTGCTTTCGAAAATGAACTCAATATTAGTGACGCAGCAATAAATTCTTTTTGAATTCTCTGTGCTATATGGGTGTGCTGTATGTATGCCACATTACGTAATTCTAAATAAACTATTAATATTATATATATACGCCATTCAAAAATAGTAATATAAAATATTTACTACTCATATTATAATATCTTTATATTAACGAAAGTTCTCAATCAATCTTCATAATTTTTCATTTCTTACACAGAATACATATATTATCCCGTCAACATAATAAGGTTTTATTTATTCACAAGTAATAAAATTTAGAGTAGATACTTGAATTAAAAATTACCTCGAAAAGTTGGCTTCTTCACAGTGAACTGTTTTTTTTTAATTCGAATTAATGTTCTCCATATTGTTTGTTGCAGATTTACTATTTTTAATATTTGCATCTGGAACTACATTTCAAAACATAAAAACATAAAAAATTGAACAATTAGAAGCAGTTAGAATTATATATCTTAATATAATGTCACAATACTGTATATATATAATTAAATATGTAAAACAATAATTTTAAACAGCTTAAAGACAAAATACTTGTTTCTTTGGTAGACGAAGTTCTATGTGCAAAGTCGGAATTGCAATCAACTTCAGTTATATTCTCTTCAGAACTCTCTTAATCGAAAAATCGCTTTTTCTTTACCTGTCTTTTCACTTCCATATCTGAATTGAGATCAGAAGTATATTCTGCTTTTGCGCACATAGCTTTAGCCTTTAGGAAATTATCTAAGACATTAAAAATACATATGTTTATTTCAATCTTATTTTATGACAAAAATAAAATTTTTAATATGTTAACCACACGAAAAATAGTTCCATGCAGACAAACGTGTGTATATACGATGTTAGTAAGAATAAAATTTAATCCGTTAATTTAAAATATTATATTTGTTTTCTACACTTATTGTCGTATAACTTACCATATTTACGACCATTAGCTAATTGCCGTATTTTACATACATTCCATTCATTAATAACTGGAGACACACACGATGATATAGCTTGCGTTATTTTACTTATATTATAAGGTGGCCAATAACAGATATCATTACAGACCCAATTTGATGGTACAGTTTCGACAACATTGTCATCAACGAAATGCACTATTATCCATTCCATAATTTCCAATTATATAAACAATAAATCCTACAATGCCGTGTTGAATTGTTATATTTCTCACTAAGTATCTTTTTCTTATTATTCTACTTCATAATTTACGAACGTATATATCTATGAAATTCTTGGACACTAAACATATTATATCTAAGAAAAAAGTACATAGAATCAATTTCATAACATATAATATCTAAACGTGAAGAAATGGAAAAACGACAAAATCTGTATAATATGGAAAAATGTATAATATGATAAGTTTCTTATCAATCTCATTTATTAACCACGCAGATATACAGCTAAGTGTATGAACAGAAAAAATCTTCTCTAAACGAGAAGAATGGCATGGTTCATGAAAAAAATCAGTTACATTCTCAAACTTTTTACCAATAATATAATAAATATTACTTTTTACAGCAAAATTATTGATAAGAACTATAGACTTATCTTTAAGAAGACAACAATTGTTTCCTATATTTGTAGTCAACCTAAAGGATTTAAATGTGCAACTTTTGTATTGCTTTTTAAAATCATTTGATGGTAATGGTCCTTCACTATGCTTTGTACTAAATAATATTTCATGTTCTATTGTGTCATTTATCGATAGTGTCATATCCTTTTCATATAATCGACGTATAATTTGAGGTAATGGTACATTAGCCTTTCTTAATAATTTTTTCAGAGATTGTAAATAATTTTCAAAGGGAAAGGCACCAAACAAATCTAAAGTTCCATAAATCTTGACGTCATCAACTATGTGTGTTAATCCATGTACGTTATGAGACACATATTCAAAACCATAAATAATTTTTAGTTTGTCAACAAAATATAGCAATAAATTATGTGCAAACGTAATATATGTATTGCATAATTCTACACAAGACAAAATTCGAACTGCAATATGTAAAGAGAGGAAATGTAAATGCTTTTCGTGTTATATTATATTTCGCAAAACTACTGGTCCACTATATAATAAAAAGATCTGAATTCTGTCGCTTTTCACTGCTTTACATCATTCAGTGAACGTGTTTTTCTAACAAATTCTACTGGAACATAACGTTTTATCGATAAAAGTAATTCGGATATGTTTATTATAGATTCGTTTGATAATTTATATGCAGGTTTTCCATACAATATATTTAAAAGTTTTTTTACGACGCCTAAACAAATAAGATGCATATATTCTAAAGGAAAGTTTGTAACCATTCCGAAATTAGGTATATTCTCCAAAATAGAAACCCCATTGTGATGTTCTGGTTGCAACTGATGGCGGAAACTATTATCCGTCCTCTTTGGTAAATTATTCTGAATAAAAGAAACTCTACCATTAATGTATTTTCCCTTTTGTGTACATTTAGTACAGGAGTAAAATCCTGAATGGCCTTTACAATAAGTTATATAGGACTTTGCAGGAGTGTCACAAATGAAACCTTTAATTTTAAAAGGTAATCGCTTACCTTGATAAATGAAATCATTGTTAACAAAATCAGTAGCTTCTTGAACAAAATCTGCCAGTAAATTATTAACACTAGTAGGTTTATCATAACCATGATACACACCAACAACAGATACACACCAATAACAGATATATTAAAAGGATATTCGAACAATGAACATAAAATGGGATATAATTGACTACTCGAACTTTTACTAAGTGGTAATCCGTCAACATTAATTAATAATTCTATAGATAATAATGTATTGTTCACTTTAGAAATTAATTGTTCTATTGCAAATCTTAAACCTAAGTGCGCATAAACACCTGGCTCAATATTTTTTAAAATTGTTTTTCGAGGTGTTTTCAGCAAAGTTCTCGGATCATTTGGTAAGTATGAGTGAACAGGTATTGATTTTAGTAAGTTTAATAATTGTCTTAATGATTCATGAGGTATATTACATGTAGTTGCCCATTTTCGCAAACTATTAAGGAAATAATTTTCTGTTCCATCTTTTAATAAACTAATATCTAACCTAACATTAGAAATAACAGGTTGTTCGTTGATATTAAAACTATTTTCATTTTCATTATTACTATACAGATCAGGTCTATGATCATTAATATTTTCATAATTTTCCACTTCTTCCACTTCGTTACTACATTGATTCTGTCTATCATTCATTCTGCACACTTTCATCACATTAATATCATTAATAGCATTTGAACTGTCATTAATAAGCTGGAAACATGTCTCTGTGTTTCGTTTCACTTTTATAAAAAAAGTACATAACAATTTGCGTTTGAGCATTCTTTATTATTTACTGCTTTAATATTATAGGATTTGTAATGATTATTATCAGAAAGATTGCAGAAAGGTTCCCATATTTTAGAAAATTCTTTTATCTGTATGTATATATCATATATTTAACAAATCCAAACTTAAAATATAAATAAATAAATATTTTAATAAATGGAATTCTCTCTCTCAAGATATAAAAGGTGAAAAATATGAATTAATAAATAAGTATATATAATACTGAAAATATACAAAATATTTTTAGTTCTGCATATTAATACATATCCAAATATAAATAATTGTTATTCGTATCTTTTATTATTGGTAATTAGTGAAATAGATCGTTTCAATATATATACAGCTATAACAAAATATTTTCAAATCTTATGTGTGCTGAGATCTTATGTCCTCTGCATGTACAGAATTTACATTGATTGTTACAAAGTTAGAAACAAAGCAGAACATTAGAAATAACTAGTCCAGTTACAGATAGTACAATATATCACAAAATAGTCCAACAAGTAACTACAATGTCTTACAGGTTATTGCAGGTTATTATACAAGTATAAGATTCTGTATGTAATTTTACGTTCTAAGTTATATACTATGTTTTTAACATATGTAGAATCTTATGATGATCTTTACAATGATCTGTAGAATTTTCTGTCCACGTTTTAGATCATTGTGTGACATGTACTATTTGTATAATTTTATTATATAGTTCAAAAGCGCAATGCGCGTTTACATGTCTTGAAATGTCTCAACTTTGTAACAATCAACTTAACACAGAAAATCACTTTCATCTATATCATTACTTTTTCACTTAGCAATATAAATTAAACAATATAGTGCATTTACTCATCCGTTGAAATAAACGTATATTAATATCAATATGTTCACTAAATTGTACAAGTTAATTATACAATTTATTTTGAGGTTATTATTTTGATTGAACAAAAATGTGATATTTAATATAAAACAATACGCACACATAAGAAGTACAATAATAATATATATATATAGAATAACACTGACAGTGTGAAAGAACAATCCAATAAAAGAAATAAGGAATTATAACTAAAAACGTATTTACCTCTATATTTTATATCAATAGTACCTGTACGGTAAGGCGAACACTGACCGATACTGATGCTCATCTATGCTGATCAGTGCAGCCAACTTCGAAACTGTCTACCATATATAGTTGTTAAACGTTTTTCTACCTAGAATATTCTATTTATATTCATAGAATGTCCCATTCTCAAATATTCTAAAACTAAGAGCAGTCGTATCTCATAAGAACATTTTGTACTGTCTGGGAATGTTCTATTTATGTTTATAGAATGTTTCACTCGAATATTCTGATAATAGAACATTCGTAATTAATAAAAATATTCATAGAAGTTTGGTGCTATCTGAGAGCATCCTCGATATTAGCGCCCATCATATCCATTTTGAATGCAGCAATATTCTGCTCTAAATCTGCCGGTTCCTCCACAAAGCTTACCGATTGGCCCTCCAAGCCGTGTGATGTCTCTTCTTGAATGTTTGCTGCAAATATAATATTTGTCTGTTGAAAGGAAGTAGCATGCAGCATGACTACATATCATCTACTCGGACGAATGCTGAGCATAATTATACTACAAATTATGAACAAAATACGGAGAGAATCACCTTATATGTATGATATTTGCAATCAGGAGAACGTTCGCAGGATCGAACAGAGCGCTTTTTTGGAAAAAAGGTCGAAATAAAAATCGATTAAATAATTTGAATGAACGTTCATTCCGCGGTGCCTATATTTTGATTTATTACAAATTTCCAAGAACCTAAATGCAACATCGGGCTCTGTACGACCCTAGATATTAATATAAGGAAGATGTCCATGTAAGTCTGATAAGCAAATATGATGTACGCGTGGAAAAATTTGTAAGTGTAGATAACACGTAAAGTGTAGCCCAGTTGCACCATAGTGCAGTATATATGACCTAACCTTCCTGCCTTACGTTCGCGCAAGCAATGCATTAGTTTAGCGTATATATAAGCAGTGCATAAAGCCCATATCAGACTACGGATTGCGATTGATTATTGGATTGAAATTTAACCAATCAGGAGTAAGTTTACTATACTTGAGATTATTTTCTCTTTTCCAATTGGTCAAATTTCAATTTAATCTCAATCCCAATCCATAGTCTGATACGGGCTTAAGTATTGCCGTGTGTATATGTATGAATATCTTCCAGCATCCACTTTAAAACATAAGATATTTTGCCACGTTGACGATATATGTAACCACCAAATTGATATGGAATATTCCTTGAACTGTTATCGAGGTCCCCACAAAGCCAGTTTCGCAATCCGGGCGTCCAAAATTTATGAAAAATAAATGAAGCGTCCGCCGTACCAAGCATCGCAGCGAATCACTCCAAAAATTATTTTACAAGATGCAAAATTTCGCCTCGTTGACGATATGTATAATTGCTAAACTATTACAGCATCTTCCTTGAACTATCCCTAAGGACCTTACACAGCCAGATTTTACAATCCGGCCGTCCAAAATTTATAATATATAAATAAAGTATCAGCCGTACCAGGAATTGCAGCGAGTCAGGCGGAATACCATTTTACAAGAAGCAATATTTTGCCTTGTTGACGTAATATATGACCATAAACTTGTTTTAGCATCTTCGTACAACTATTCCCGAGATCTTCACAGAGTTACATTTTACAAACAGGCCGTCAACAATTTATTATATACAAATAAAACGCCAGCTGTACCAAATACGCAGCGAGTCAGGTGGAATACAATTTTACAAGAACAAATATATTGCCTCGTTGACAATACATATAACAGCCAAATTGTTATGGTATCTTCCTTAAACTATCCCTGAGAACCCTACAGAGCCAGATCTTGCAATCCGGCCGTCAAAAATTTATCATACATTACTAAAGCGTCCGCTGTACCAAGCGTCGCTGCGAATCATTCGAAATATCATTTTACGAGATGCAATATTTCGTCTCTTTGACGATACTCTCTTTGATATTATTATCAAATTGTTGCAGCATCTTCTTCGTACTTCGTACGTATCCCGAGATCGGTACAAAGCCGGATTTTGCAATCCGGTCGTCAAAAATTTATAATATATAAATAAAGCGCCCGTCGTACCAGGCGTTGGAGCGAATCAGTTGAAAAATCATTGTAGGAGATGCAAAATTTCACCTCGTTGACGATATGTTTCACCGCTAAATTGTTATAGCATCTTTTTTGAACTATCCCCGAGAAATCTATAGAGCCAGATTTTGCAGTGAGGCTATGAGAAATGTATCATAAATAAATAAAGATGTATGAAGCGTCGGAGCGGATCACGTACCATACCATTTTACAAAATGAGATATATTACTTCACTGATGTAATATATCATCATCATATTGTTATAGCATATCTCTAAAACTATTCCCAAGATCCTTACAAAGCCAGATTTTGCAATCGGGCTGTCTAACTTTTATTATAAATAAATAAAGATGCATCAAGCGTCAAGGTGGATCACGCGAATACAATTTCACAAGAAGAGATATTCCACCTCGTTGGCGATATATATAACCGCCAAATTGATATGGAATATTCCTTGAACTATTATCCAGGTCCCTACAGAGCCAAATTTTGCATTCCGGCCGTCAAAAATTTATCATATATTAATAAAGCGTGCGTCGTACGAAACATCGCAGCGAGTCCTGCGAAATACCATGTTACAAGAAAAAATATTTTTCCTCGTTGCTGTCATATATCAGCACCAAATTGTTATAACATATTCCATGATCTATCTTCGAGGTCTCTACAAAGCCATATTTCATATTTCGCAATCAGGCCGCCTAACATTTATCGTATATAAAAGACTGTGCCGAGCATTGCAGCATGTCACGTACAATTTTGGAACATGAGAAATTTGCCTCGTTAACGTAATATATCACCATCAAATTGTCCGGCCGTATTCTTTGTATTATATCTAACGGCGCTATAAAACAGGATTTTGATTATTAACACACATATATATATATTACAGGCGACTGTACGGGACAACAACAGGTAACTGTTAACTGTTAACTCCTACAAGTAACTGTAGGAACCGTTAAAGTTGTTGCAATATTAGAAGTTTATTAATGAATTTATTTTTATTTCTTATATTTCAGGACCGATTTTGTAAATATATACACAGGATGCTAAATTCCAAACGTAACAGGTAAAAAATCTCGAAAACTATGAAAGATATTAAAAAAAGCTAAAACAGGTGTTCCATGATTTCGAAGGGGAAACAGATTGGCATTATCTATTTTTTATTTGGAAGGCATTTTCAAGGTCAGTTGAAGGTCAAATTAATTTTTTTAAATAGAAAAACCAATTTTTTATTATATTTTCTTTTTCTACTAATTAATTTGAACAACTTTTGTCTAAAACATTTTTTTATTTGCCTAATATTTTTTAGAAATGTTTAAGGAAAACTTGGTAACTTTTCAACATTTAACTTACGATATCTCGCTAACTATTCGTCGACAGAAAAAATAGTATTAGACATTTTTACTTTATTTACTATCAAGAATATACTACTATAATAAGGTCCTAACTTTTGCTAATATAATAATTCTGAAATTTCCAAAGGTCTATAAGTTAACAAAAGTTAGGGCACTCTTATAATAATATATTCTTGATAGCAAATAAAGTAAAAAAGTCTAATACTTTTTTTTCTGTCGACGAATAGTTAGCGAGATATCGTAAGTTAAATGTTGAAAAGTTACCAAGTTTTCCTTAAACATTTCTAAAAAATATTAGGCAAATAAAAAAATGTTTTAGACAAAAGTTGTTCAAATTAATTAGTAGAAAAAGAAAATATAATAAAAAATTGGTTTTTCTATTTAAAAAAATTAATTTGACCTTCAACTGACCTTGAAAATGCCTTCCAAATAAAAAATAGATAATGCCAATCTGTTTCCCCTTCGAAATCATGGAACACCTGTTTTAGCTTTTTTTAATATCTTTCATAGTTTTCGAGATTTTTTACCTGTTACGTTTGGAATTTAGCATCCTGTGTATATATTTACAAAATCGGTCCTGAAATATAAGAAATAAAAATAAATTCATTAATAAACTTCTAATATTGCAACAACTTTAACGGTTCCTACAGTTACTTGTAGGAGTTAACAGTTAACAGTTACCTGTTGTTGTCCCGTACAGTCGCCTGTAATATATATATATGTGTGTTAATAATCAAAATCCTGTTTTATAGCGCCGTTAGATATAATACAAAGAATACGGCCGGACAATTTGATGGTGATATATTACGTTAACGAGGCAAATTTCTCATGTTCCAAAATTGTACGTGACATGCTGCAATGCTCGGCACAGTCTTTTATATACGATAAATGTTAGGCGGCCTGATTGCGAAATATGGCTTTGTAGAGACCTCGAAGATAGATCATGGAATATGTTATAACAATTTGGTGCTGATATATGACAGCAACGAGGAAAAATATTTTTTCTTGTAACATGGTATTTCGCAGGACTCGCTGCGATGTTTCGTACGACGCACGCTTTATTAATATATGATAAATTTTTGACGGCCGGAATGCAAAATTTGGCTCTGTAGGGACCTGGATAATAGTTCAAGGAATATTCCATATCAATTTGGCGGTTATATATATCGCCAACGAGGTGGAATATCTCTTCTTGTGAAATTGTATTCGCGTGATCCACCTTGACGCTTGATGCATCTTTATTTATTTATAATAAAAGTTAGACAGCCCGATTGCAAAATCTGGCTTTGTAAGGATCTTGGGAATAGTTTTAGAGATATGCTATAACAATATGATGATGATATATTACATCAGTGAAGTAATATATCTCATTTTGTAAAATGGTATGGTACGTGATCCGCTCCGACGCTTCATACATCTTTATTTATTTATGATACATTTCTCATAGCCTCACTGCAAAATCTGGCTCTATAGATTTCTCGGGGATAGTTCAAAAAAGATGCTATAACAATTTAGCGGTGAAACATATCGTCAACGAGGTGAAATTTTGCATCTCCTACAATGATTTTTCAACTGATTCGCTCCAACGCCTGGTACGACGGGCGCTTTATTTATATATTATAAATTTTTGACGACCGGATTGCAAAATCCGGCTTTGTACCGATCTCGGGATACGTACGAAGTACGAAGAAGATGCTGCAACAATTTGATAATAATATCAAAGAGAGTATCGTCAAAGAGACGAAATATTGCATCTCGTAAAATGATATTTCGAATGATTCGCAGCGACGCTTGGTACAGCGGACGCTTTAGTAATGTATGATAAATTTTTGATGGCCGGATTGCAAGATCTGGCTCTGTAGGGTTCTCAGGGATAGTTTAAGGAAGATACCATAACAATTTGGCTGTTATATGTATTGTCAACGAGGCAATATATTTGTTCTTGTAAAATTGTATTCCACCTGACTCGCTGCGTATTTGGTACAGCTGGCGTTTTATTTGTATATAATAAATTGTTGACGGCCTGTTTGTAAAATGTAACTCTGTGAAGATCTCGGGAATAGTTGTACGAAGATGCTAAAACAAGTTTATGGTCATATATTACGTCAACAAGGCAAAATATTGCTTCTTGTAAAATGGTATTCCGCCTGACTCGCTGCAATTCCTGGTACGGCTGATACTTTATTTATATATTATAAATTTTGGACGGCCGGATTGTAAAATCTGGCTGTGTAAGGTCCTTAGGGATAGTTCAAGGAAGATGCTGTAATAGTTTAGCAATTATACATATCGTCAACGAGGCGAAATTTTGCATCTTGTAAAATAATTTTTGGAGTGATTCGCTGCGATGCTTGGTACGGCGGACGCTTCATTTATTTTTCATAAATTTTGGACGGCCGGATTGCGAAACTGGCTTTCGAATCTCGGAAATAATATAAGGAACATGCTATAATAATTTGGCGGTGATATATAACGTCAGCTAGACAAAATACGTCAATTTGTAAAATGGTATTGCACGTAAGTCGTTGCGACGCTTGGCTCACTTACCCAAAAGCCTGGAAAGCATTTTCTCGCCGTGTATCGACCGGCGAAATGCCCGAGTGAGTAAAGCCAGCGGCACACGGTGCTTGTTTTCGTGCTGGATTGCTTGCTGGATGAAAATATTGCGTTGTGATTGGTACATTTCCGAAGATGGATGGAAATGCACCAATCAAAACGCAGTATTTTCATCCAGCAAGCAATCCAGCACGAAAACAAGCACCGTATGCCGCTGGCTTAAGACAAAAGGACAGCGCGATCGATCGTTCATCCTTGTCAAACTGACCTGACCCAACCTTCCTGCTCTTGCGCTCGCGCGCACGGCATTGGTTCGCAGTTTCGCCGCACGAGGCCCTCAAAGTCAACTCTGGATTTGCCTCTGGCTCCTGCAGACAATTATTGATCTCACATGGCAGAGCAACTTTCCCATGCTGGATTTTTTCGTTTCATGCAAAAACGCGTTGATTGAATATAAATTTATCAATATTAGAGGTGAGACCCCTAAACTGTATAATTACTTTGCAAGCTAACATATACGTTAATTCTGTAGAAAGATTAGTAAATCGTTGAAAAATAATGTTTAGGTTAAGTGTTAAATTAGTTTATAATAATTATATTATATGCAACACATGTAGATAAAATAAAACCGTTTTTTTTTAATATTTAACCATATTTTTTCTAATACCAACAGAAATGTTTAAAGAAGGGAAATTGCAAGAAGTCACTGCATCACCATTCATCTGCAGAAGCTGCAATATACAATTATGGGACCTGGAGCTGTTAAAACAGCACTACAAATCTGAATGGCATAAGTACAACTTAAAGAGAAAGATAGTTAATCAACTACCGACCACATTAGTGGAGTTTGAGACGTTAAATAACATGAAAAGTAAACTTGAACAATCAAAGGAAAATCGTTATTGCACCATATGTTGCAAAAAGTTTAACACAAAGAATCAATATGAGAATCATCTGATCTCAAAGAAGCATAAGGAAAATTCTGACAAATTAGAAAATAGTGACAACAAAGTGTCCCAAGAAACTAAAAATGTTATAGGAAGCATCAATGATGATACGTCAGGTTTTGGCAATTCCATTTCGATGAAAGATATAGTTTCCAATAGGAAAACAAATATGGAGGTTATAGAAATTGATTCAGTTGTAGAGTCTGTGGATTCAGATGAGTGGATTAAGGATACAGAGAATCCTGTAGATAATAACAATTGCCTATTTTGCAATCACCACAGCAGATCACTAACACGTAATTTAAAACACATGACGGTTGCACATACTTTCTTTATACCAGATCCTGAATATTGTGTGAATTTGAGAGGTCTCTTGACATATCTGGGAGAGAAAATATTTGCTGGATATATGTGCATCTGGTGTAACGATTCAGGTGAAAATAAATTACAAACTTATTACTTTTATAGTCATCACATATATCTGACTTCATTCTACCATTGGTTATCGCCCTATAAAAAAATATTTGTATCTTTATAAATTGTATTTTTTTGTGGTTTTTAATTTAATAAATAAAGTGGCTTTTAATTTAATAAATAAGTAATATATTTTATAAGGTAACTCTCAGCTGTGAAAGTAAAAGTTACTGAACTCATATATTTCTACATTTTCAGGCAAAGCATTCCAAAGTACAGACGCGGCGAGGGCACATATGCTGGACAAGGGGCACTGCAAAATGTTGCACGAGGGCGAGGCATTGCTCGAATATAGCGATTTCTATGATTATTCGTCCAGTTATCCGGACGCTGAGAATGGCGAGAATCCAGACGTAGAAGTGGCACTACCCGACGAATTGGACGATTTCGATTATCAGATGATGTTACCATCTGGCAACGTAATTGGCCATCGGGCGCTGATGACATACTACAAGCAGAAATTGAACCCGAATAGTACGGTCGATTTGTCGGTGAGCCACAAAATGCGCAAGATGTTACTGCAATATCGATCACTCGGATGGACAAATACGAAGAGGCAAGAGGTTGTGCGGAAAGCCCGAGATATCAAGTATATGCAAAGGTTACAAGCCAGGTATGCAACACAGTTGCAGTTTAAGGCGAACAAGTTGCAACGTCACTTTAGGAAACAAATGATGTTTTGAACTTTGGCCACTCTTGGATGTTATAGAAGACTGCGAAGCAAAGATTCTTTTGTATCACCGATATTGCTACGTTGTTGTATTACATGTTACGATTGTATTGTATATTTAGTGTAAAAATAAACAAATGTATTTATATTTAAATGTGAAAAATAGCAGGATCATGCTGAAGTAACTCACAACTGCTCATTGTGGTTTTGTTTTATAAACGATTGCTACCAAATCAAAATTTATTTCAAAAGATATACATATCTCATGGAATATAAATCATTATAAATCGCACACTTTTGGCGGACTCATACAAAATAACTTGTTTTACAATATACTCTCGCAAACACGCGACAACGACAAAAATATTCTTTATTCTTTTTTTATAATTCTCCTCTTTCCCCTTCTTTTTTATTCTTTTTAATTTGTATATAATCATGTGGACCCGTGTTTTATTCAACAACAGAGCAAAGACAATAGCCCATATTCTGAACTCTCATCACTAAAAGTAACTCTAAAAGTGGCTTACAACCAATTAAGAGGCTTATAAGTTACTTTTATAGTCACTTTTAACAATAAAAGGGAGTTCAGAATATGAGCCAATTTCTTTCGATATTCTCGCATGACATACAGGGTATACAATTTTAATCTAGCACTCCTCGTAACTTTGTAGAAAATGATCATAGAAAAAAATGTTTCAGATAAAAGTTGTATAGTTTGAAAGAGACATAAAATAACTATATCAATTTGTTTACAGATGGCGCCATTTTCGAGATATTCACCGATTACTTTTCTTAAATGAAAACTTCAATTTTTTATTATATCACTTTCCTACCAATTAATTTTGACAACTTTTATCTGAAACATTTTTTTATTTACCTAATATTTTTTGAGATATTTAAGGAAAACTTAGTAACTTTTTCAATATTTAACTTTGAGAAAAGTAATGTCTCATAACTTAATACAAGGAATTCGTGAAAACATAGAGCGGATTAAGACAAACGTAAAAGTCCTATACCGTTGTGGCTCGAGTAGCTGCGATGCTTCTCCAATCATCCATCTTGGCGTGCTCTCACTCGTCAGATTTCATTAATAACTCGTTAGTTATTACGAATATCGCAAAATTGTGTCACTTTTATATTTGTCTTAATCCGTTCTGTCTCCACGAATTCCTCATATTAAGTTACGGACAGGGGGGAGAGGTACAGAGACCCTATATAGAGAGAATGTAACATATTTGTGAATGTGTGTGTGTATGTATGTGCGCGCGCGCGTATGTGTTTGTGTAAATTATAAAACAATCCGTCGCGTTTCGCTGATGTTCACACAAGAGAAAAAAGGAGAAAATATCGTGTATTATTGGATTTACTATTATTGGATATACAATATAACTGGACGCTATATACATGGACCGTTGCTCGTCGCGACATCAGTGAATCGCAAGACGTGTGAAAAGAGTAAGGACAAATCGCTACTCCGACTTGACGTTACGATATTTTTCAATTTAAAGCCTGATTTGAATTTTAAACATAACATAGTTTTCACTTCACGAGGCAACACGGAAAGAATTTTCGTTCCAAAAAGAATTCTACTATTACCTCTGCTACTTTATAATTATTGTCAATAATAGAGTTAGGAAAGTTACTTGTCTAAAGTAATTCGTTACCGTTACTCGTTACACGTTGAAAAAAAATTAATTTGGTACCGTTATTCATTTTGGGACATAATTAATTATTTTTGCCGATCAACAAATAACGAATTGTTATAATTTCCATTACTTCTTTATTAACATTCGTTACCAGGGTTTAATCAGAAAAAAGTAACGATTATACTCTCTTGTTATTCAACCTAGGTTCAAGGTGAGGAAAAAAGATGGAAACCTTTAAAAAATTTGAAAAATATAAGTTTTATAGAAAAGTGTTTCAGACAAAAATTATAAAGCTCAAAATGATGTATTTACTGATCTTATCAGTTTGACCTTGAGTGGCGTTGCTAAGGTCAGGTCAAGGTCAACTTATTTTTTTTAAACAGAAACCCCAATTTTTATTATATCATCTTTTTCTACCAATTCATTTGAACAACTTTTGTCTGAAACATTTGTTTACTTACCTAATATGTTTTGAGATATTTAAGGAAAACTTGATGACTTTTTCAATACTTAACTTACGATATCTCGCTAACTATTTGTCAGAAGAAAAAATGGTACTACATTTTTTTACTCTATTTGATCTCAAGAATATTTTGTTATAATAGTTCCCTAACTTTTGTTAACTTATTGACTTTTGGAAATTTCAAAATCATCAAATTAACAAAAGTCAGTGCTATTGTAACAATATATTCTTGAGATCAAGTAGAGTAAAAAAGTCTAATAGCATTTTTTCTTCCGACAAATAATTGGCGAGATATCGTAAGTTAAATATTGAAAAAGTTTCCGAGTTTTCCTTAAATATCTAAAAAAATATTAAGCAAATAAAAAAATGTTTCAAACAAAAGTTGTTAAAATTAATTGATAGAAAAAGATGATATAATAAAAAATGAGGGTTTCTGTTAAAAAAAATAAGTAGATCTTGACCTGACCTTGGCAACGTCATTCAAGATCAAACTGATAAGATCAGTAAATACATCGTTTTAAGCCTTATAAATTTTGTCTGAAACACTTTTCTGTAAAACTTATGTCTTTCGAGATTTTTAAGGGTTTCCATCTTTTTCCATCACCTTGTATTTTCTTCTCGATAATCATCATTGAAGGAAAAAAATAACGTCACTAAGTTATCACTGAAAAAAATAACTTGCAACGATAACAACACTACTTCCTAATCTTGATCAATAATTAGTGAATATAATATTAGATCTCTCAGAAACGTTGAAAATCGCTAAAAATGATTCCGAAGAAAAACATACATCGAGTGTCAAATCGAAGCAGCGAAATGTCAAACTACAACATTTGACACTTTTTTCTTGCCTTCCTGTCGAAAACTATTGTCACCGGTACTTAATATCTCTTGCGCGATAATCAATTAATATATATCTTTCTTCCTCACGATATATAACGATTCTAGAAATATACTTCGTATACCTCCGTTTTCCTCCGTTCTTTTTTTTCTTTTGTTTTTTTTTTGTTTTTTTGTCGCTACATGGATGCGATCGGAGTTATTTTAGATGAAACTAATCCTACGTTGCAATATAGAACGGCATTACGGTATCTGCGTTGGAGGACACCCGGTAGACTTTCAGCAACTTCTCGACATGTATTAACGTTCCCCTTTGTTTCTTTAACAACGACGCCTCGTTCGAAACATTTACGTACTAATAACGAAGTGGGGCAGTAACCGACATACTTTGGACTTCGGAGACGCCGCGGAATGTGCTACGTACATTTCTTCTGACATTTTTCTGTTGTTGCTTATTACGGGTAAATACAACTAGCGAGCGTCGCGTTCACCGCGAGATACTCGAGAGACACACATTAGATAGAGAGGTGTTATTGTCATACGACGATACATACATTACGTACTTATCTACTTTGCGCTCTCTTGTGCTTTGCTTCGATCCGATTGAAATGCCGATGAACATGAAGCAAGTGGAGTTGGCCTGATTCAACAATTTGGACAGTGAAGAAAAGCGGTGAATATTAATATTAGTGGTGAATCTGCATCGATTTCAATGGTCTTGGTATATGTTATCAAAGACATGATTCTGATTAACTTGCAAGAAGTTTTAGTCGTTGTTCATTGTTTATTAAATAATTATTAACAAAAGAAGCTTCATAAATAGAGCATACTTTTCCGACATAATATATATTAAAAAATGTTAAACAATATATATAAACAGAACGTATCAACGTTATTAAAAAGGTCTCTTAAACCCACAATCATAGCCATATGTAAAGAGGTGTAAGTTGAGTTAGATGTTAAAAGTTTAATTAAATTAAACTAGGCTTCTTTCAGGGAGGGAATGTAAGGGTTTCGCCCTTCCTTCGCTCGTATGTATTGCTTAATATTTTTTGTAATATATGTATACATATATATATATATAGGGTGTCTCACATATATACAGGGTGTCCGGAATGTGATCATTAATATTTTGTGTACTGGTAGATTGAGTGTAGCCGAAAAGAAAAGTAATGTACCATAATGTCAAATTGGCAATAGTTATCGAGTTATTAATTGAAACATGTGAGCCAATGAGCGCGTAGAAAGTGCTGGGCGGCCGCCTCTTGTCGCTTGCGCTCGCTCGCTCGTTGTTCGCGCTCGCTCGCTCCTCATCGCGCGCGCACGCCTCTTGTCGCTTACGGTTGCCTCCCGTCACGCGAGGTAAGCCATCTTCTTATATACAGAGCTCGTCTTGTCGTTTTCTCGTGCGCTCATTCGTTTATACATTTTAATTAATTACGGAATAAATATTGAAAAAATTGTAAAATGGCACAGGACTTTTTTAATTGTTTTAATGAGTTCTACCAGTACACAAAATATTAATGATTACATTTCGGACACCCTGCATATATATACAGGGTGTTTGAAAGCTTATCATACAAACGAAAGTTGGAGATAGATTGCGTGTAGCCGAGAAGAAAAGTCATGTACCATAATGTCAAATTGGCAATAGTTATCGAGTTATTAATTGAAGCATGTGAGCCAATGAGCGCGCAGAGAGTGCTGGGCGGCCGTGGTAAGCACGTAGACATTTGGTATAGGCGGAATCAACGAGTGTCGATAGGCGAGCGCGCGCGGCGAGGGGCAACTATAAGCGACAAAAGGCGAGCGCGCGCGACGAGGAGCAAGCGAGCACGCCTATTGACTCCGCCTATACCAAATGTCTACGTGCTTACCGCGGCCGCTCAGCGCTCTCTACGCGCTCATTTGTTCACATGTTTCAATTAATAACTCGATAACTATTACCAATTTGACATTATGGCACATGACTTTTCTTCTCGGCTACACCCAATCTATCTCCAACTGTCTGCATGATAAGCTTTCAAACACCCTGTATATATATACAGGGTGTCTCAGAACTTTGGGACACGGGCTCCTTAGGGACATAGAGCTAAGTGAGAGGAACAAAAAAGTCCTGTACCATAATGTGAAAATCGTAATAGTTTTTTAGTAATAACCGCGTAAAGTTTGGCGTTTTCCGCGCCCATCGCGGCCTAT